TATCTATCTATCTATCTATCTATCTATCTATCTATCTATCTATCTATACAAATATATAACTTAATGAAAAAAATTTAAATTGTCTATAAAATTTGTAGGTCAAAAAATGATACCTTCAGATCCCTCTGTGACTCTAGGAAGAAATACTATTCTAAAATTAAATAGAATTCCACCAAGACCTGACTTCTGGCTCCTCTGAGGTCCTAATTCTCCTACTCCCTGCCACTTGTGTCTCTCACATCTCACTGTTCCTTTAGTTGAGAACCCTCTTCTAGAAGCTAGCTCTCTATTCTGGACTTAGGCTTAGTTCCTTCTGATCGCCAAATCTCCACAGTGAGTAGCTATCGTAGCTTTGGCCTCATTGCACCGTAACTGCCACTATTAGGCTGTAGAATCCTTGAAGGGAGGATTTCGTCAGCACTGTATGAGACCTAACACAGTATCTGGTGCACAGTCGTTACATTCAGTTGGTTGAGTAAGTGAATGAATGAATGAATGAACACACAGTACCTTTCTGTCTTCCAGATCGATTTTGTTCCCAAGCACCACCATGGGATATGATTGCTCCATGGGGTTGATCTTGGCCAGGACGTCATCCCTCCAGATACCCAGGGCTTCAAAGGACTCTGGGTCAGTGACATCGAATGCCAGGACACAGCCATCGGAACCTTTGTAGAATGTTGATACCATGGAGCGGAAGCGCTCTTGACCACCTGTGTCCCAGATCTGGAGGGAAGAGCAGCACCGTCAGGCTCAGATGAGTGACGGGAGGGAAACCCAGCACGTCTGTGTCCTGCTGAAAGTCTCATTTCTGGATGATGAGTAGGTGGAGGTGTGCACAACCCTTTCATACCCAGACAGTGCAGCCTCCCACTCACACCCCCCCCAACAGCTCTTAGCTCTGACTTTTTGTCTGTCTTCTCAGGGCAGGGGTTGTTACCCCAGCCCCCAACAGTAAATATCTTTTGGGTTTGTAGGTTATCTGTCTCCGTTACATTGTTCACCTCTGCTGTAGTAGATGAACAAGGGTGTGTCTGTGCTCAGGGGAGAGACTGGGGTCGGCCGGGAGTTGTGCTTCACTGACCTGCTCCAGGCCTCCCCGGTTCTAGTACACTTTGTTATGTAAGCGGGCGATTTTTAGGAGTGTGTGTTGCAGAGGCGGAGGGGACCGCTCACCTGGAGCTTCAAAGTGGTGTCGTCCAGGATGATGATTTTGGAGAGGATGCTGGCCCCCAGTGTAGTCTGATATTCCTCAAAAAAGGTTTTGTGTACATATTGGTGAAGGAGAGAGGTCTTTCCCACACTGAGGGAAAAAAATACTCCACATATGTATAAATGCATACCAATACACACACACACACACACACACACACACACACACACACACACCCCTATGCCTTTCTTAGGACATTACAATGACTTTTGCACTGTGGTCCTTTCTTGAGTGTTTGAATTAATTTCTTTACTCTTTTTTTTTTGAACCAAGTTTAAGAATGGGCTTTGATATATGAATGACTTGAGGTGAGGGGATCGGGGGAACACAGAAATACCACAGTATACACCCTAGGAGGGGCTCAAGTGTATTAAGAGTTGCTCAGATTCTGAATTTCTATTATCTATGGTCTGGAGACTACCCTTTGGGGAGCAAAGGACTGGGAGTAGTTTCTAGGAGCTGAAACCAACTAAAACGAGCAGTTTGGATAAGGTTGGGTGTCCCACAACAGTGCTCGGATTTTGCTGGGTGTGGCAGGCCATGGGAGGACCCAGCTATGTTGCATGGCTGCATAGCCAGTTACTGCAGAGCTGGGCTCAAACCAAGAACTTTTTGCTACCTCCATTTCGTCAGCTAAGCTCCCTTGCTTGAAGCAGGATGCACGTCGCTGCCACCCTCACTCAGAAAGGGTCCCTTGGAGGTGGCAGCATAGCCTGGAGGCCTTACTACTCCACGAGAAAGTTGTTTATCAGCGAATACACGGCAGCCGGACTTGACTTACCCAAGTGCACCAACGATGATAAGTTTCAAGTCCACTTTCTTTCTGGGATTCATGAGCGGCTTCAGAGCCTGCGGGCAAGCAGAAGTCATTTCACACTAGCTAGTCTTGCTTGTGGCCATGGTCACTGAGGCTGACCCTCCCCACACAGTCACTGCCGCCCTCCGACATGTGTCCCCACGACACCTCCCAAACAGCGTTTAGCATCCTGGGACTCTTACATCTGAACTCTGTTTTCCTCTGGTTTATCAGGATCTCTGTCCTGGGCTAAGGACTCCAGTGAGGCTGTCCTCCTGACAGACACACTTGACCCAGCACCCCTGACACATCCTCCCCTTTGCTTTGCCAAAGTTGCAAGACTGACAGCTCACTCACCCTTCAGTTTTTTAGGGTTCTGCTCTGGGAGGTAGCCCCGAGTGCCAAACAGCAGGACAGATCTGAACAGAGACCTCACACACAGCACCGCTTAGAGCCAGGAGTGGAGGCCAGCGTGGGAAGAGGGGATGGGGTGGGCAGGACAAGGGGTCCATTGTCGGGACTGCCTGGAGCCTTTGGATGACTGAGAGTCCCTCCCCCACAAGTGCACTGCACTTGCAAAATCACAAGGCTTTGTACTGAAGCTGGAAGGGGTGAAATCGGTACATGTTTCTGGAGAGCTACTTGGCAGCACGTGCGGAGAGCCTCCAAATAGTTCTGACCTCTACTTCTAGGAATTTTTCTTAGAGAAATCACCAGAAACTTGAGGAAAGACTTCAAGACTGCCCTTCCAGCCTTGCTTATAAACACCCAACAGTGAAGAAGCAGTTAGACCAGGACATCTGACGAATTACTTAGTAGTTACTGGAATGGAGTATTTGAAATATTTTATTATATGTGGGAAAATATTCATGCTCTATAATTTGAGTGAAAAGTTGGTGCTAAATTATGTGTGCAATATTGGCTAAGAGTCAACTAATATCACAATTGCATTAATGTTTTTGTCGGTGTTGGGGACTGAATCCAGGGCTTTGGAAATGCTGGACAAGCACCATATATACAACTCCCTTGAAATACAGAATGTGTACATAGAAAAGTAGTTAAGTCCAATTATACATGCCCTACTGAATATAAACAAATTTCCTGTGAAGAGAACACATACAAGCCCTGAACTTGACACTGGGAGCATCTGGGATGAAACACATAGGACCTACTGCAGGGAACACCAGGGAAGAAGAAACAGGGGCCGAACAACACTAGAAAGTCTTCCCAAGACACAGACAAGGTATGGAACTGACAACATGGTGGGCCTGAAGAAGGGAGGCTCAGGGTGTGGGCGGGGGAGGGGGTGAGTGCGAAGAATGAAATAGGGAAATTCTGGGATGGAGAATGGAAAAGGTGATTGGATTACTTCAGGGGAGCAAGACTGAGGTGGCCTATCCCATTTCATCCATCCATCCATCCATCCATCCATCCATCCATTCATTCATTCTTCTAGCTACTTATTCAAAATCCCCCATCTCCCAGGGATGTAGAGGCGGGGAACTAATGACGCCAAACAGGACTGGCATACTGCAGCAACATTGCTGCTTACAAAGGCAAGTCATCAAGAAGTGGCTGAAAAGTCTTTTAAAAGGGCGGGTCTCTGAGCATCAGTTATCTCTTTCAAGGGGCGGTAGGGCAAAGGAGTGTTGTTTCCTAACACTTTGTTACAGTATATTTTATCTTAAAAGACCAATAAGTATCTTAAAAGTACTTAGAGTTTCAAAGCGGAGGCAGAAAACGGGAAAGCTGCAGCAACGGCCGAGCACCTGCAGGGGATTGTACCAGCCTTTGTGCAGCAGGCTGTCTGCTCCGGCTCAGAAAAGGGTCACTCTCCTGGGAATACAGTTCAGTACTACTACATTGCTAACTCCGCTTGAACAAGGCTTCCATCCCTAGCAAACAAGGTGTGTGATGGGGGAGGGGACAAGTCACTCATACTCACTCATGTAACACCACACTGTAGTAACTGAATGAGTTAGGGCTTGGATGGGAGGCCAGAGAAAGCTCGTCTGTGCCGTGGAGTCTTCAGATAACCTGAGCTGGAAGCCTTGGTTCCGAGCACATGGACACAGCGGGCACTGGGCTCAGATTTGTTGTGCTCAACAAAGCCTTGGGTGTACTGGGAAAAGGCAGCCAGGGGGATGAAGAGGCTCTGTTAGAGCAAGGGACCTGGCGTGGCTGAACGGGAGCTGTATGTGAGGACCCGCACTTCAGTGGACACGCATCATGCAGAGGTGGAGGGAACGGACCACGCACATTGTCATGATATGTCACACTCTATATGCTGACATTTATTGTCAGACATTGTGCTGAGGGCCTTGAAAATATGCAAATAAGTAGCACATTGTGTAGGTTAAATGAATTAGTGTGTTATTGTGCTTGATGTATTGTCGTGACACATTAACTGGCACAAATTGAGGTTTCTTAAGAGTGGTAAGGCCTTAAAGTGTTAGCTATTTTAGTGCATACAAACTATCTGTGGGGTTGGCACTGCTAATATCCCTGTTTTACTAGGAAGTAGATGTTTCCCAGAAGCTAATTTGGGAATTCCTAACAACACACACCCTGTAGTGTAGCCTGGGTTGGAGCTGAGATTTGGAACCAGGCTCAGTTCTCGAGACTGTCTGTTATGTGCTGATATCGATCACCAGTTGGGAGGATCTGGCATCACCTGGGAGACAAACTTCTGGGTACATCTGTGAGTTTCTAGACTGAGTTAATTGAGGAGGGAAAATACACCCTCAATATAGATGCACCATTCCATGGTCTAAGATCCTGGAACAAATAGATATACGTATTGAATACATACATATATACATACATACATACACACACAATACATACACACGCAATACATACATTCATGCATAATACACACATACATACACAATACATATATACACACAATACATACATTCATGCATACACACATACCTACACAATACATGATGCATGCATATATACATAAACACACATACATACATACACACAATAATACACACATACATATATAATACATACATACACACAATACGTGCATGCATGCATACACACACATACATATGCATATGAATAAACACAATACACACTGAGTACTGACATTCATCTGTCTGCTTGCTGGCCGCAGATACAGTGTGAGCAGCTGCCCCGTGTTCCTGCTGCCATGCCATCCCTATCCATGAAGGATTGTTCTGTCAAACTGTGAGCCTAAATAAGCCCTGAATTCTTCAAATTGCTTTGCTGGCATTTTGTCACAACAATGAGACACACAGTGAGTGCAACTCGGGTACCAATAACCCAGGCTTTTATTTTTTAGTACTAGAAAAAGTGTTGAAGCCAGGAGCCTGCTAGGCAGATACTCGGTCATAGAGCCCCATCCTCACACCTTTTTGAGGTGGAGTCTCATGTCATTGCCCAGACTGGCCTCAAACCAGCAGTCCTCTGCCCCAGACCCCCAAGTATCTAGGATTGTAAAGTGTACCACTGTGACCAGAGACTTTGCCCGTAAGTGGAGATGAACGAGGCTAATGCAGCTTGGCCGCTGAAGGACCTGCCAGGGCACATAATTGCTCTACCTGCATGTCCACCAACAACATGCTTACTTTTTACAAAATTAAACCAATTAAAACATTTCATATGTGTCCTGTACTTATACCATTTCACCCTACCTTTCCTCCTCCCTCCGATCCTTCCCATGCGTCCAACCCTACCCCATTCACTCCCAAAGTCATGGCCTCTTTTAAGAGCAGAATTCCTACACAAATGCCAATCCATGTATATTCTGAAATATCAGATCATTTAAAAAAGGATGAAGTGAAGACCTGCACATGCGCACGCACACACGATAATTTAAGTAGAAAAGAAAAAGCAGCGTGAACGTTTGACAGAGTGTGGTTGAGCCCGACTGCCAGGAATAAGCATCAGTGTGTCTCCGTGTTTGACCTCACTCACGTGCTTCCTGGAAGCACAGACATGTTGTCTGAGGAGAGACAGGAAAGAAGGGAGAGGAGGCTAGGAGTTTTCATTCTGTCTCAAGTGTCCATATTTTTAAAACTTATTCTGCAATCTCAGTTTCTGTAATTTAAGAATATCAGAAGAAGACTTAGCCTCTCTCCTTCCCCCAGTCCCACCCTGACTTAACCTCTCTGTGTAAAGCATGTGCGACTACTGGGTGACTGATGGTTTCCTCTTTGGATGAATCACTGTGAGTAGGGAAGGGAGGGGAGGGGACTGCCTCATACCAGGCAATGACCGTGACTTTCAGTGTTAGAGAGCCCTCTCTCTTCCCTAATGTGCCCATCTGTGAGCCTTGAGTATTACTAGCTTTGGGGTCTCCACTCCCTCCTGGATAAAATGGATGTGACTTACGGCTGTGACCACCTTCGTCTGCAGGTGGTATGTGTGTGTCATGTTATGATAGCGTAACAGGATCACAAGGTTAGGAAAGATCCAGGGAACAGCATAACACCTTTGTGGGGTAGGGTTGGGAGAGGAGGTCCTGAGACTCAATTTGCAGTGGTTTCCATTTTTGAATCAGTACATCTGCCCACCATGGTTTATTTCAAACTATGAGCATGGAGCACGCATAGGACCAGGAGGTCGAAGTACTGGGTAATGCTAGGCTCCTAGGAAACAGCCAGACATACCCTGAGTGCTTGCTCCTCTCACCGGAGGTAGGTTTTTTCCCCCCACAAAAATGCTCAATTCCTCTGCAATGGCAGGCACTGGGAGGGGCGATGATGGGGCGGGGGTTGGTGTCTTTGGGTTTCTCTTGCCTCTTCTGAGCCTTGTGACTTCTCCACCCCCTCACTGTACCCATCCTCCTTCCAGATGTGCCCTGGAACTGTGCTGCTGCCACCAAAGACTCCTCTGCCCTGATCCCACAAAGGGAGAACATTTTATGAGTCTGACATCTAAAAATAGCCTTGACCTTTGGCTTAGAGAGTGACCCAGGCTGGCCCAGTGCTAAGGTTGGTTAATTTGGGGGCAAACAGCAGTGGGGGCTCTCTTGACTACTCCCAGGTTTCAGATGGTAGCTGAAGTGTCCTTTACCCTCACTGGACTATAGCTACATAGTCCCTTTCGGCCTCTTTCTACTCACTGCAGGACGAGAGCTTCGAAGAGGAAAGCAGGGAATCTCCCCACCAGCAAGGCTGAGTCATCTTCACTGCTACTGAAGAGTGAGTAGCAAGCTTGGAATGCAGGACCAGCCCAGCCAGCCCAACCCACACACAGCAGGACTCCAGAGGGACCACCTCTTCTCCACTCTTGCCCAGCAGCACATCCCAGCCCTTTCGCCTGAGTTTCTCTGCAAAGCCAGGGAGACTGGGTTGCTGCAGAGTACCTGGACTTGTGACTGGTCTGCAGGAACTCTCAAGGGTCTCAGCCTTCACCTTTCCACACCCTTCCCTCTCTTTCCCATTGGCTCCAGGTAGGACCCAGCACAGCCTCTTGTTCTGGTTGAGTCCCAGGTAAGTTGTCAGGGAGACCAGAGAACAGGAGCAGCCAAGAATTCTGCAGCAAGCCCAGTTTTCCTGCCCAGTATACAACCTTCCCCACTTCTTGTCTTGCCCAGTTTCTTCTCTTCTCCCTCTGGCACCCCATACTATATTCAATCTAAAAAAAATTAGTGGGACTTACAGGTTGAGTGTAAAGGCTTCTGCTTAGTGAGATTCCCGGGAACACGAGGCTTGTTGCCTGCCGGGATCACTTGAGAGTCTGCCTCACCCAGATCCTTGCAGGTCTAAACCTGCTTTCTCCACAAAGTACACCCACAGAAGACTCAGCGTTCTCATTCTTTAAGATCTTTGGGGAGGTGTTTGTCCTGATTCTCCAGGTAGACTGCCTGTACCCTAGGCAGCACCTCTTACCTCTCTGTCTCCCTGTCCCCAAAGCGTGGTGACTGAAGCTGGGAATCGAGATTTCTGAGTAGTGATGCATCCACCCATGTGCCATGCATCTATGCATGCATTGAGTCTTTCATCCATCTTTGCACTTTCCCATCCACACACCCTTGTAGCACATGCCTGCCATGCACACACACGCGCGCGCGCACACACACACACACACACAATAGCACATGTCCAAGGATACTCAGAAACCCATAGGCTCTTTGTGATGGGGGATTGGTCAATAAGCCCAAAGCAATCATTTTTATCAGTACACAATGCCTATCAATTATAGAACACTTGCATTTTACAAAATGTTATTATAACTCAGTGGATACTTGAATCAAAGACTAGTTGGTGGGCTAGCAAGATGGCTCACAGGTAAAGGTGCTTGTCATGCAAGCCTGGTGACCTGAGTTTGATCTTCAGGACCCATGTGAAGGTGCAAGAAGAGAATCAACTCCACAAAGTTGTCCTCTGACCTCCACACATGCACTGTGGTAAATGTGCGCATCCATCATGCATACAAAACGCATCACACATAGAGACACAGACACACAGACATGTACACACATGTGCGCGCGCACACACACACACACACACACACACACACACACACAGAGTGAGAAAGAGAGAGAGAGAGAGAGAGAGAGAGAGAGAGAACAACAACACACTAGATGAGTAGCCCACTTAGAGTAGATCCTGGGTCTGTCCAACTCATTGGCTCATGCATTATAGCTCCTTGCCAGAAGAAATACTTATGGATTAGAACAAGAGGGATGTTTTTCTATTTTGGGGGGGAGCTTGTCTTTCTCTGATAGCCCCCACATCGATATCCCAGAAGACACCCTGTCCATGTGCCAATTTGACGCCAGATGCTTCAGGGTGCAACCGTCTTGGAAGGCTCCAGTTACTGGCAAACTGCAGAACTAGGGGCGTAGTGCTGTCCTTCTGTGACTGAGCTGCTGAGTCCTGTCTGGTACTGCCACAGATCCCCGAACCGGGCCCCAGCTCCCCGTGACTGGGAGGGAAGTCCTTTCTCCACCACACCCAGGAACGTTCTCTGCAGAGCAGGGGTCTTTGAGCTGGATTAAAACCCTGCACCTGCCGCATTCTTAGCCTCATCCCTGCACCGTTGTTTCTAATCCTCTTCACTAACACCCAGACAGTGGGAGCGGCTGGGCACTTGGAAGGACAGAGAGGCTGCCAGGACACTCACAGCCGCGGCTGCAGGACACTCACCTCACACAGATGGGAGTTCTCGTCTGGATATCTCTTCCCCAGAGCGGCAGTTTCAATCTGGCCAGCGTTGAACACGTTAAATGGCTTTGGTAAGAGGCCACTTCCCTCTGAGTTTTCCTCCTCTCTCTGCACATACTTGGGAAAGTTGCAAAAGAGGCTGGGCCTCGGTGACCTCAGCTGTGTGGGTGGAGTGGACTGGGAGAGCCAGGCTTCAGAGCTGCCTAGATTTAGGGCACCTGGGTATTTACTTCATAAGGATTCTGGTCCCAGGGGATGAGGAATGGCAGGCTTGAGTTGGGGAACTTTTGAACAGAGGGCCTGCAAGGTGGGCAAGGTGACATGCCCAATTTATGGACTCGTAGGATCATCTGCCGCTGTCCATGGGAGTCCCAGGAAAGAAGCCCTTTGTTGTTTTCCATTCACTCATGGAGCAGATTTGGTCCTGCTACCAGGGCACCAGGAAGCTTGGAAAAAGTTCTGACCTTAGGCCTTGCCCTTACCGTGCACACCCCTCACACACTCACACACACACACACACACACACACACACACACACACACACACTCTGTATACACACCCCTACATCCCTGTGCCACACTTGTTATATATACACACCTCATGCCCCGTTCCTCACCACACACACTTCAAACCACCCACGCCCCCAACTTCACTTGTGTAGAATAAACTCACCCCATACACCCCACACCACATCAGACATGTAAGAGGTAAGGCATGTCCCGGCACCCCAAAACCCCACCCTGGGCCCCTCTGGTTGGTTGTGTGGCACAAACTGAAGCACCCAGAAGGCGACAGTAAATTAAAATGCTGTTAGCACACAGTTAATTTTGGCATCTCAATTCACTGTCTTGGGTGAGTATAGTGGGCAGACGGAGTGAGTTTAGACACGACTCCCCAGATCTTTCCCCTAGGGTGTGTTTGGTCACTCCGCATCCCTCACAAGCTAGGAGTCTGTCTCCTTGTAGACCCATTCCTTTGGTTACTGTGCTGTCAGAAAGTTCCTCTTGCTTCCAGTTGCTCCCTATGATGGGGCCTTTCCAGCCGTCCTGTGTCTGAACCAGCCATAGAGTCTTGCATTTTGAAAGTGAACGAGTAGCCTTGGATCCCACGCTTGGCCGATTGTGCTGCCAGCATAGGCCCTCCTGAAGAGTTTTTGGGGGAACAAAAATTGAAGCTTATTTTCTTGTATCATCTAGCACACAGTCTTGGGAGAAGGGACCTAATGATTTCTACACTGAATACTTTATAGGAAGACTGAGGGGAATTCTAGAGCCTGTTTGCACACGTGAAGTAATTTGGTTGCTCAGGAAGCCAAGGCAGTGTCCTGATGGCTGTTGGTTTATGGAGGCTGCTGAGCTCTTGGACTATTGTCCTTTAAAGTCCCCCACCCCATCCCCAGTCTATACCACCCTGAATGAATCCAGTGATCTCGTGTCTGTACAACACATATATGCAGTGCCTGTGGAAGCCAGAAGAGAAGAGGGTGTTGGCTTCCCTTGGAAATGGAGTTACAGATGGTAGTTAGCCAATGTGAGTACTGGGAATTGAACCTGGACCCTCTAGAAGAACAGTCAGCACTCCTAACCACTGAGCCATCTCTCCGGCTCCCAGTGACCTCATAAGATCTGCAGAGTTGGCCTGGTTAGAACGTAGATGGGAGAAGCTTCCCCAATATTATTCTACCTTTTTGAGACTAGATGCTAATTGAAACTTAGCCTGTGTAGTTGTGTGTGTGCGTGCTGTGTGATGACGACTGGGGAGACCTGAACAAATGTCTGTTCAGATTGGGAGCCAAGTAAGGATGCCACCTTACTAGGTGACCCAATGAGTTTGACTGGGGCTGCTTACGGGAGCATGGGTGAGGGGTCACAGGATCAGAAGTGACTCAAAGACAGCTGCAACACCAAAACTCTCCTGGCATGGGTGGCAGCTCAAGAAAGCTGTAACCTGGACCCACTGCACAATGTGCAAACAGCTCAACAGGTTGGAAGGGGACTCTTCCAGGCAGCTCAGACAGTCTCGCCTCATGAAGGCAGCTTGGCTGGTCTGTGCTTCTTCCAAGTAGTTCTGCAGTCAGTCCTTACTGCTTATTTGTGTTTAGGGAGGGAGGGGTCAGGTATACCTGGTCAGATTTAGGAACTTCCTGAAGCCTCTCAGTTGTTTACTTCCTGAGCTCAAAGAAAGCATCCCTGAAGAATGGACCGTCTCACCTCTTTAGCTTCCCTCTAAGGCGGAAGGTTTTACCTCAGAGGAGATGACTATCCACAAATGAGGTGGTGGTGGGGCATACACCATGGTGACGCAGTGGCACGTGGTCTTGCTGTCACAAAGTCTGTCCTGCTGAGGACCATTTGGGGTGTGGGAAGTGCTCTGTCTGTGCTGGGCCCTGAATGTGCTCTTCTAGATGCTGTTTGCAGAACTGCTTCCTTTCTTTTGGAAACTAAGACAGTAGCTCTCAGGCTCCAGCCCCCACTTCCTCCATCCACGTGAATCTGAAGTCAGTAGCTTCCCTTTCGCTCTTCCATCATGCTGCGCTGCAGACGGCTGCTCAGCTTCCACCCCGCCACACCCGCCACATTCGTTCAGTAGTCTGAGTAGGTCTCCTTCCGGGGGACACAAGTGGATTCTGGAGTTTAGCAGGAGACATAGGACAGAGACTAAGTAAAGGCATAAGGATACTCAGAGGAGGAAGATGGTAGTCCTAGGTAAGGTGTTCCTAAAAGGAAGAAGGAATTTGAACTGGAGCTTGACGGACTGGCAGGCTGTGGGAGCATTGGGTGAGGGGAGGAGATGTGCAGGCTTGGTGAAACGGAAGTGACCCGGGCGTAGGCAGAGGAGATGCTGATCTTCTGAGTGGCAGAAGAGATCTGGCACTGGAAAGGAACCCAGTTCAGGCCAATGCCTTGGCTGTGCATACTCCGCACTGGAAGGTTCCATCTAGGTTTTGCTTATTTGTTTAGAGATGGGTGAGGGGTGGTGGTAATGGCATGTTACTATGTAACCCCTTACCTGCTGAATTCTGGGACTGCAGATGAGGGACCCCTATGGTCCACAGAGAAAAGGCTGCTCTGTGGAGTGACCCGCGCCCCTGTTGGAGATAGGACTCTTGAGAACAGAATGTTCAAGTGAGGACACAGGTGTCTGTGTGTGTGTGTGTGTGTGTGTGTGTGTGTGTGTGTGTGTGTGTGTATTCAATAGGTTCCCGAGGCTCATATGCATGGAAGAGGGAGTTAAACAGAGGCGAGGTCCCGGACAGTCATGGAATTCCTCCTAGTTTGAGTGTCTGTTGGTACCCAGGAGGGACTACAGGGAAGTGGAAATGAGGAAAGGATGGAATTCTCATGACTTTCAGAAATATCAATCAGGCACTGGTGTGACGTGGGCACAGGGGCACTGGTGTGATGTGGGCACAGGGGCACAGTGTGATGTGGGCACAGGGGCACAGTGTGATGTGGGCACAGGGCAGTGGTGGTATCAGAGTAGGATGTTCTTGAAACATCCCGGGGAAAAGGCAGTGCTCAGAAGAATGGGACAAAAGGCCAGGTGATAGCAACACTTCTGTGGCAGTGCTGGTGGGACTGGTGTAAATACAGTCGCCAGTTCATTTGGTCATTTGTCAGAGGCAACAGTGTGGCTTATGCATCAGGTCCACCCTCCGGGCTTCTTCCACTCTTCTCAGTCTACTGGACGTGCAGTCTGAGGTCATCGCATTCTGGTAAACTATCGGGCCGAATTGACCCCAAGGAGAGCACCTGCAGGGACGCTGTTCCTAAGCTGGCCTCCACTTGGCTCAAGGATGCTTTGGCTGAGAGGGCAAGTTATAAAGCCTTTTGTCTCAAGGGTCTCTGCTTTTTCTGCTAGTTTTCCTAATAGGTGAAGGCCTGTACCCTAAGGACCAAGTCCTGCAAGCTAGCTGGTGCTTCCACATGCCGAATGGGCACTGTCTTAGTACTTTTCTGTTGCTTTAACAAAACCCCATGACCAAAGAACTTATGGGAGAAAGAGTTTATTGGGGTCTTTCAGCTTCAGAGGGTCAGAGTCCATGACCATCATGGTGGGGAGCACGGCAACAGGCAGGCAGACATGGTGCTGGAGAGGTAGCTGAGAGCTTACCTCCCATCTATAAGAATGAGGTGGGGGTGGAGGGAGAGGAAGAGCTAACGAGGAAGAATATGAGCACCTTGAACCTCAGCTCAGTGACACACCTTCTTCAACAAGGCCGTGCTTTCCAATCCTTCCCAAACAGTTCCACCTACTGAGAACCAAATCCTTAAATAGACGAGTCTATGGGGGTCATTCTCCTTCAAACCACCACAGGCACAGCATCCTCATGTGACTTCATGATGCACTTCCTCTTACCATGACCATTTTGCAGGTGAGCAAGCAGGTGTGGAGGTGCTGGTGGTGGGAAGCCCGTCTCGGCTTGTCTGGCTCAGGGTTCACATTGTCAGCCCGCCTACTCTCACACTTTGGTAACTTGTTTAGAACATCAAGCTGTTCTGACTAAACTTCAAAGGCCGTGAGTTAATAAACAAAATGAATAAACTCTTTCAAGGGAAAACAAAAAGTATGGGCACGGCCATGATGAGGGGTGGGATGCCAGTGGGAATTCAGGCTGACTGCCTTCAGCTTGGGGTGTGTCCCTCGATTCCTCCTACCTATAAATGACGGTGTGGGGCTGTCCTAGTGACCCTGCAGGTCTTAAAGTACCACGCTTAGTGCCTGACACAATCAAGCATTGATTGTTTTGGGCTGAACCAAACGTCAAAGAGCCAAATGAGCTGGAAAGAAGACGGGATAAACAGACAACAGACACATGTTGGAATAGAGAATTATCTGCGGTATCAAGAACCATACACATGCTTTCCCTTCTTCCTCCTGCCCTTTCATTTTTATTTTAAACATTGTCTTGATGTGCAGTGCATTCTGGCCTTGAACTTCCATATTCTTTCCTGAGCTTTTATATTTTGAAATGAAAGCAGCAATTAAGAGACTATGTGGACCTTGATTTCTTTTGTGTAGAAAGAAAAACATTGCATACCAATAACTATCCCCATTAATATGGCCAGAGGAAATTATATATATATATTCAACTCCAGAAGCTCAGTTTCTCCCTGGCAAATCCTTCAGGACAGACTTTGGGGAGTGTCCCTACCTCCTCTTCTGTTTGACAGCCGACCACATATGTTCATTGACAGTAAACTTGTAAGCATGCTTCAAGGAACTCTTTGGGACAATGGTTGAGGCTGCCTGATAGTGTGGAAGTGTGTAAGATGGGCTGCGGAAATTAACAGGAAGTAACCTAAAAGGTCAATGAAAATTGCGTATTTAAATAAATGTAATATACTAGAAAGGGTAGGTTTGAATCCATCACCCTCTGCTCTAGCTCCCTCTCATTATTTTTGACAATTGATGGGTAAAGTGGGGGAGGGAAGTCTAGGCAGTTGTCTTCTTTTGTATAAGAGGTGTACTTTACAGTGAGCAGAAGGGTGATGAAGAAAGGTGATTTTTATGAAGAAAAAAAAATCTGGGGAGACCCTAACCATCATGAGGGCTCCCTGAGGACCATCAGCGGCTGCTGAAAGAGAGGGTTTTGTATTAGATGGTGGAGGCCGACAACTGTAAATCCACTCATCCAACTTAACATGACAGGTCAAAGGTGCCTAGCATTATCTGCCTCCTGATGGGAAGTACCCAGTGCTGTCTATGTGACAGTTTGCCATGAATTAAGGCCTCCAGATCTAATTACCATCTCATAGGAAGGGTGGACACAGAGACCCACACCAAATGATACCTCTAGATTTTAACCCATCAAAATCTTATTTTCGGTCTTTTTATGAGACCAAAGTCTTGTCATCTGGCCCTGCCTGGCCTGGAGCTTGCTATGTAGCCCAGTAAACCTTGAACTTGAAGTGATCTTCCTGCCTCAGCTTCCAGAGTGCTGAATTATAGGTATGTACCACCATGCTCTGGTTGTAATTGGCAAAATTCTGAAAATGGAAAATTCTGTAGAAGAAAAGAGACTTAAGAGACATTTCAAATGAATGCAATTTATGTTGTTCCCCCCAGTTATGGATCTGGTTTGAATCCTGATACAAATAAACCAACTGTAAAAACAGGGACACATTTATGCGTGAGTGAGAGACATTTAAATTTTAACTTTTAAGGATATTAGACATTAGATAAAATGATATGGTGCTTAAAATTGAGATGTGTGGAACCAGAGGGAGAGAAGATAGAGGTGCCCGGTCACATTTGGATGGGCTGTGAAGTGGGGTAGCAGTGCACAGGGTTTATTCTGCCATCATATCTCCTTGTATATATCTTTGGAGAGTTCCATAATAAAAAGTCGACAAGAAGCAATGAAGACTACAGACGGAGCTTCATTTTTTCATCACGGTGGTGGTGGAGGTGGTGTGTGTGTGCAGTGTGGGGGAGGCTGTGTGTGTGCTCTCGAGCTTTCTCTAGTCTGAATACTGTGGGATGGCTGCATCCTGTGGGAACTGACTTTTGTGTAGGTATAAAGAGATCTAACAGACTAAAGGGGTATCAGGTATCCATATATAGACATACATCCCCATTTAGGGGACCGTGGGGGCCAACCCCACTTGGTTATTTCCACGATCAAAGACTGCATAGAACTGTCGAATGAAGACATCCCCCAGGATCCAGAGGGGCCCAGCTGGTGGCGGAATGTCAAGCCCTTGAAAGCCGCTGCCGCAGTACTGCATTCCATCCACTAAGTCCTAGGGTCCAAAAGAAGCAATTAGTAGCAGAAAGGGGAAGATGAACACAGTCCTGGGAACTAGGCCAAGTGATAGTGCTTGCAGGAAAGTACCCTAGTACCATGTTGGGTATGGGTATAAGCAGAGCTTCTTATTTGGTAAAAGTAGGGGAGTGTAGGTGTTAGACATCACCCAGGATCCAGAGGGGACTAGCTGGAGGATTAATGTCAAGTCCTTGAAAGCCACTACTGCATAACTGCACCCTATCTGCTAAAACTAAGCAAGCTACTTCCACAGAACGGCATCCCATCCACTAAGATTAGGAAAGCCACTGCCACGGAACCACATCTCATCCACTAAGACTAAGAAAGCCAACGCCATGGAACTGCATCCCTTCCACTAAGACTAGAAAAGTCAATGCCATGGAACCGCATCTCATCTACTAAGACTAGGAAAGCCACTGCTGTAGAACTGCATTGCATTCACTAAGTCCTGGGGTCCAAAAGAAGCACTTAGTAACATGTCAATGAGGATGGAAATTGGTGAGCAGGGCTCAGTCTCACCATATGGTTTTTTTCTCAGCATACTGTCTGCAGAGTCTCTCCCAAGAGCTTTCAAGAATGCCCCCAAGAGCCTAGGAGGCTTACCACAAAGCTGTGCTTTGGAGCATAAAGGGGAGGTCATGCTGTCTTGGCACCTTTATGCTGGCACAGTCACTGACTGCATGAGTGATTCTGGTTAAAGATCAGCACATTAAAGTGTCTTTCCAAAGAAGTGCAACATCAAAAACCAGGTCCAGGGGATGGGAAGTGACTATAGGTTTCCAAAATGTTCAGCTTTTTGGTTCTACCTCACCCGTAGAATTGGGAGTCATTGCAATAAAAGACACATTTTGGATTGAGGAAGAAAGATAATCAGAATGTTGCTCCTCCCCAAACAGCTCATATGTTCTTTTTAAATCACTCATTAGAAACTTTTTTATTTATGTATCTGTGTGTAGTATGTATCTGTGCACAAACATGATCAGAAGAGGGCCTTGGATGTCTTGGAGCTGAAGTTGCATGTGGTCTGAAACCACATGAAGTGGGTGCAAGCAAGACAACTGTGATCCTCTGGAGGAGGATCAAGTGCTCTTCACTGCTGAGCCATCTCTCCAGACCCAGCAGTCATTTCTGAGCCATTTATTTAGCTCTGAGAGCCTCGGCATCCTTCCCCTATAAATCAGGATAATAACATCTCCAATTGCACGAGGGCGCTGCAGAGGATCGATGTGTTTGTTGATCAAATCCTCATGGCAACATCAAAAATCTCCCTTAAATGTCTTCTGCCTGAATAGCTGCTGCTCCATGGCAGAACTGAGAACTAGAAGCAAGCCCAGGAGTTTCTACCACAGGCAACTTCGTCCCTCTCAGAGAAAACGCCACATCAGAACTGCACTAGGTGGGAGGGAACTTGGAGTCGACGTGAAGGGGGAAGTGACAGGCACGTGGGTAGGACACTGTGACTCACAGAATAAGGAAACGGTCCTTACCGGCAGGATGTAGGCATTTGGGCTGAGGGCATATGAAACCCCATTGATGAGGAAGGCAACATTTGGCATCGTGTTGAGGGTCGCACAATTCACAGCGTACTAAAACAGATAAGGATCAACTCAGAGACAGCTCTCTCCCCAGAGAAGGACAGGCTCTCCTGCTCCGACACCAACCCCACCCTGGGTAAATACTTACTTCTCCATCTATGGGTGTGGCCCCAATGGCCCCTTGAAGCTCTTTGATCTTGTCGGAGGGGCCAGTGACGAGGGAGGTCCCTGTGTCCACAATGGCTTGGCAGCCCTCAGAGCAGAACATCACTGTGTCTCCCACCTGGATTCTGAGGATAAGGGGTGTGGTCCCATGGTTAGCACCTGCTCCTTGTTGGGGGCCCTTTACCACATCAGGACGCAATAATGGTGCCCCCTTTGCTCTTTTCTACCCCAAGAATGTTTTCCAGTTAGCATATTTGTTTGTATGAGACAGGGTCTCTCTGTATAGCCTTGGCTGTTCTGAAACTCACTCTGTAGACCAGGCTGGTCTTGAATTCAAAGAGATTCACCTGCCTCTACCTCCAGGTGCTGGAATTAAAGGCATGTGCCACTATTCCTAGCCAAATTGCTTCTTTTCAAAGACAGGGTTTCACTCTGTCCAGACTACTTCCAAGCTCATAGCAATCCTCCTGTCTCAGTCTCATAAGTACTGAAATTATAGGCATGATCCGTTATACCGCACTCAACTTGCTTTTTTGACTGAGATTCACAGTTCAGAAATATACTTACTTCTGTTGAACACACACACACACACACACACACACACACTGAAGTACATTCTTGTATTTTTCTATTGTACTCTGTTTTCATTCAGAAATGCAGATCAGGATCTGGGCATGGTGGGGACACCTATAAGTAACTCTAGCATGTAGGAGGCTGGGGTGACAAAATCCTGAGCATTCCAGGCCAGCTGGTGCTCCATTGCAAGGTCCTGTTTCAAAAAACAACACACACACACACACACACACACACACACACACACACACACGACAGATTCCTTAAACTGATGTGATGAGCACAAATAGATAAATATTACCGTCTGAAAGGTGCCGGTAGACAGTGAGCATTAGATCTCTTTTACTTTTTATCCAGAGCGTCTTAGGAGCAGAAACTAGATTGCTCTGCCCTGAGCTCCTACCTCACCTAGCATGGTGCTGGCGATGTAACAGGGGTGGAACCTTACTTTCCCATTAGCTCCATGTTCATGCGTGGATTTCAAGGCTCCATTTCAGAGCCCCTGCCTCCACTTCCCCTGCACAGTCTTCAGACAGAGAAGTCTCACTCTGTTTGCTGGCCGGCCATCCTAGCGACTCTTAGAGCACTGACCACATCCACTTTGTGTGGTGGCAAATTTGGGACCACACCTCATCTTCCTTGCAGGCTTCAAGAAATCAAAAACCTGAGTCCAAATCACCCTTGCCTCCTGCATTAATTAAGGCTGTATGAACACAGGGCAGTTAGCTGTGTGAATTAGAAGGGGGCCTGCCAAATGTATACAGAAGGAAGCCACTTCTCTAGTCCTTCCTGTGTGTTTCCACACCTCCAGTCTAGCTGGCAGGTTCCCAGCATCTACTCTAGCACCTGGTAGTGCCACTCAGTTAATCCAGTTTGAGTCGTGGCTGTCGTGGGTTTTTCTGTTCAACCATGGTTACTACACGGATGATACTCACCCATCCAGGGCAATCTGCCAGTAACCTTGCTTGGTGACAGGAATCCAATTGAGGCTCCCAGAGAAATGAGAGGGGTCATAGCCTCCGAAAGTCAGCTCACTGCCTGAGCCACCTTGAGGGTCACTGCACAGAGAGATAGACAAATTGTCAAAGAAGGGCCACTGGAAACACTGAGCCAGATGGTCAGCGAGGGCCCTCCATTGCGTGTCTGGGCACTCACATCTGTACCCAGGTAGCAGAAACTCCTAGGCAGCCTGAGCCTTTGGGGACCAAAGAGAAGAACGACTCTGTCCAACGCTCTGTGAACACTCCCTGCTTCTTGGATAAAAAATTTAGGAGGTAGGGAGCATCAGAATTGCAGATTCAAGGTCAGGACCATCCTGGGTGTGCAGACACTGAGGATGCAACTTGAGGGTACCCCCGAAATGCCCTTTCTGGGACTATCTTCCCTGCTAGGAATGCTGTGGTGTTCCCACAATCAGGAGTTCCCATAATGCTCTCTCCTCTTTGTTAAGGTGACGAGGGTAATTTGAAAGCAGTATGTCTTATTAGAGTTTGACTATTGGCTCATTTTCTTTGGTAGTTATTTCTCAAGTTATATACTGGGATTTAGCAGGCTTCGGGGAAGAGGGGCATTTCTAGAAGGGAAAGGAGAGAGAAGAAGGCACAAAGCCTAGGACACTGAAGGACAGGGTGGTGTGGGGAAGGAGCATATATCTGCAGGGATTTTACATTTAATGGGAGCTGGGGATGTAACTAAGGGACAGAACACTTGCTTGGTATGCATGAATCCTGGGTTCTACAACTCCCACCACCCGATCTGGTGGAATTCTCACATCAACCTTGTTTTTGCTTGAGGAACCGGAGGCCCTGGGGCACAAAACAACACAAAGGGAGACAGGAGCCCTGACAGTGTGCCTTGGTCAAAGTCCTCTCCGGCCCCAACTGCAGTCACTCTGGAGACACAACACAGCCCAAGAGAGCAAATGCAGGACTTTTCTTGTGGAAGGGGACAGAGGAAGGGGACTTACATTGGATCATGGTAAGCTCAGGCCAGGTCAGAGTGGAAAAGGTAAGTCTCTCTCTTAGGGAGGAAAGTGAGGTGAGCGTCCCAGGAAAGGGTCCGGGGACAGTGAGCGTCTCCCTCTTTCCAACTGTAATGTATGGAGTTTTAGAACTTGTGGCAATGTAGTTCTAAATTAACCATCTTAGCCAGTTTTGAGTGTGAAGTTCAGATTTTCATTACCGTGAAGTCAAGTTCCCAAATATTTTCACCATATAGATCTGAGTCTCATTAAAGGAGAGCCCCTCTCTTTTCCTCCCCACCCATGGAAACCACCACTGTACTTTCTGTCTATGAATTCAGTTCTAGGCACCTCTTGTAAGTGGAATCCTTTTGGTGACTGGCTTATTTTGTTTAGCCTGAGTCTTGAAGCTTAATCCATGTTCTAGCACACGCCAGAAAATTTTTGTGAGGTAGGAGACTGAACTCAGGGTCTCGTACGAACTCGGTAAGAAAGGGAAAGGCATACTAGCGCCATACTGCATCCTTTGCTCTCTTTCCAAAGCCAAGCCATAGTCTTCTGTATGGTTATACCACCCTTTCCTTTCCTACCCTTTACAGTACAACTTCTTTTTAGTATCATCTTACTGGTTAATTCTCCCCGTCTCCCAACCACAGAGATGGTCCTTGTTTTCTTATGCTTTGGTGTCTACCATCACATGTAACATGTAACGGGACCTTGGTATTTACTGACCATATAAATCATTAGCCAATCTCAAGGATCCACAGATTCAGCTCATGGTGGCAGTTCACTTCGTACTTGTCATAACTCCTTTATGAGGCAAACCACATTTCCTCAAAATCCAGAGAGCCTAAGTGTTTTGCTCAAGATCATATATCATAGGTCAAGCAAGAGATTCAAGAGAGTCATGGGTCTTAGAAGCCTGTGAAGTCTCGTGTACAGGCTAACTGCCCGTGGTCATCACTGACTTGATATAGGTGGGGAGGGGATGGCTGGCCTCACCTGCTCAAGTAGACAGAAAATATAGGCAGATCCACGAGGTTCTGGGCCATCATGTTGTCAAACACTGGGGTCACCCCTCCAGCAGCCAATGACGGGTATCCAAGGCCCAGAATCCCATCAAACTCGGCATTCACAAAGGTCTGCCCAGGTTCCGTGACACTTTCTCCAAACTGTTGGCCCTCCACAGTCAATCCTTCCACCTGAAGGGAGAACGGCACAACCTTCACGGATGTTGTGGGGACTCAGATTCCTGGGTCCCCATTTCGATTCAAGCTAATTCTTCCTATCTCAGCTTTCCTTGGCAAATAGGCACAAAAGTTTTGACTATAATCCCACTAATATAATTTCTTCATGTGATTTTAAAAATCAAAATATAAAAATTGCAGAAAAGATGAGTTTCTATTTTAATAACAGTCCACATACTACACATGCCCATGCAACCCTCCTGAAACAAAGCAGGACATTGTGAAGACCCAGCCATGCCGTTCCTGTACCCTGCCAATCACTTCTCCAGAGTGACTCTTCTTCAAAGTAACACTGGTTTTGTTTATGCCTTTAATCTTACATAAATGAAATTATCTACTATGATGCTGCTACCTGGATTCTGTTTCTTAGCACTGTGCTTGCTACATGCTCTTACAATGTTTTTATTCTCATTAGCATTCCAGGTATGAATATGTTACCATGCCATATGCCATGGGTGGACATCTGGGTTGCTTTCTGTGTTTAATTATCACTAATGGTGCTTTGTGTGTACTTCCTTTGGTGGTGGTGGAAAATGTACATATTTCCGTTGTAGCAAATCTTTAGATTTCAGGGTTTATAAGTATTCTCTCTGAGCAAAGGTCCTGGTGTCTTCCAAAATTGTAGTACCAATATTTCCATTACTGGTAGTCTGAGAGTCCCAATTGGACCATACCCTCATTAAAACTTGCTACACCTTGCCACTTCCATGTTGGTTTTATAGTAGATATGCAGAGGGTTACATTGAGGTTTTAACTGCATTTTACGACAATTAATTGACGATTTGTGTATCATCTCTTAGGAATGTTGCTGTTGGCATATTTTGGAGCCAAGCCCTCTGCTGGCAACCACAAGGTTTTCCCCATTAGTGATGCCTTTTGTTGTTTTTGATGAACAAAATATGAATTTAAATGTAGTTAATTTTATTAATTTTTGTTCCATTATTAGGCTTTTTAATAGCATGCTTTAGAGTTTTTCTTTTTCACAATCATGGATACATTTTCCCAAGGTTTCTTCTATGCTCTTTGTTCTTCTACATCTTGCATTTAGATCTATAATCTACCTGAAGCCTGACAGCGTATGACAAAGCTAAAAGATTATGTTTTCTGTATATCTAAGTGCCATATCATTTTTTAAGAACACTGTTATCCTCTACATGCCACAGTAAAATGCTAAATATGAGTGAGGTGATTGGCAGGAGTTTCTGGATTTTTCCTACATCCTGGTACATTTGTCTCTTTTTTCTTAGCCTATACCAAAATGGCAGTCTGAGTTGTGGTTTTATAATACCTTGGAAGTGTTTTTATTAATCAGGATTATTTTGGTATGTTCCATTACTTTCATCTACATGTTAGCACCAACTTAGCAGTTTCTAACACAAATCTTACTGTTTTGATCGAGCTGATCCTGGATCTATAAATCAACTTGGAGATTTTGACTTCTTTATCAAAGTGAGTCTTTCTACAGGCATGAATCTTCTTTCAATTTCATAAATGTTTTAATTTCATAGAGTAATGATGTATTTTTTAAGATAGAGTTTTCTCATATTTGTTAAAGGTAAGCTGCTTTTGATGGAATCATAAATACAGTTAGTTTTTAAGACCCATTTTTCATTTGCAACATAGAAACCCAAATGACTTTTGTACGTTTACCTCTTCTAGAAATGTTGGTAGATTTCCTTGTTCATCTCAATATACTGAAAATATAGTTAGATTTCCTATATGTAGAACTTTGTCATGTTGCTATTTGTGATGGCACACACCTTTAATCCCAGTTTTCAGAAGGCAGGTGGGTCTCTGTGAGTTAGAGGTCATTTTGGCCTATGGAGAGAGTTCTGATATTGAAATCCTAGCCAATTCCTCAGTGCTAAGGAAGGAACGGGTCTTAGAGGAGAACTTACAACTGCCTCCTTACTAAAGCGACAAAACCCTAACTACATTCTAGGTTTTTGTCCTTACACCCCATTGATAATTGTAATCTTCAACTCTCATCAAGGAAACTTCTCTTTGAAGCAGACAGAAATGTCACAACCAATCAAAATTCAGAGGTGTGGGACCCAATTCCAATACAACAATACAACTCCCACACGTAAGGTTCAAGGGTCATTGTGAAGAGGGGCCAGACTGTAAGAACCAGAGGCAGGGGAGTTTGCGGTGAGACTGTGTCTCTTAAGAAGGTCAGAAGCTACACCCATAAGGCCTCACCAATACAATTGTGTAAACATGGGTTGAACAAGGATGACCCCTAAAGACATGCTATCACGAGTGGGACCTCAACCCTAGGCAAAGAACTACAGGCAGCAAAGGAATGTTGAGAATGGGAGAATTAGTCTTTCCCAGGAAAGAGCAAACCCATTTGGTTATTCAATACCAAATGGTCATCCCTCAAAACAAGTAACATTATACAGCTAGAGCAGAGTGTTATTATGTATCTAGGAATATGTTCATACATACAGACGTATGTGACAACGTTTAACGAAAAAGGAGGTCATGAATTTGAAAGAGAGCTGGGAGGGTATACGGGAGGGTTTGGAGAAAGAAAAACGAAGAGAGAAGTTATGTAATTATATTATAACATCAAAAATAAAAGAAATAAAAACAAATAAATAAAGTTAGAAACAAGCTAAGGATCTTTTTATATGCTGATGTGACAGTGATCTTTTGTCCTTCCAAACCTTAAGCCCTTAGTCTCTTTTTTCTTGTCTTGCTGAGTTGGCGATGGTCTTCAGCTCGGTGCTGAACACAGGGAGTGCCCTGACTACTGCTGTCTCGTTCCAGATCTCAGGGAGAATCTCCAGCCCCCTCAGAAGCTCAGCACTGACTGTAAGCTCTGCTGTGGGCTTCTGAGGAGCACAGGTTACCCTCGAGCTTGCTTTCTTCCCCTCCATCCTCCCACACGCATCCCCATGACTGGCTTGTGGGCATTCTTTAATAGACTAAGGAAGTTACTTTTATATTCATGATTTTCTAAGAGTTTATTCTTAAGTTATGTCTACATCTTGAATTTTGCGCATCCAGATGTTTGTATTGATTTTTGTTTTTATTCTCTCTGATGGCAAATTCCTAGGAGGAAATGACTGTAGGTTGGGATTTATGACCCTCACAAAATTTAATTTGTTCATTTCTTTTGTTTAGGACTTTGGCATCTATTTGGGCACAGTGGTTTTTGCCTGAAATCTCAACACTCAACAGGTAACAACTCAGCACTCAGCCAGAGGATGACGAGTTCCAGTTAGACTTGGTTCACAGTGAGAGCTGTCTCAGACCTGTCCAGCTACAGAACACAAGAACTTGGACATCCATGGAGAAAGGGTATAACTCTAATTCATTTTGTTTTTGTTTGTTTGCTTTGAGACAGGATCTCATATATCCAAGGCTAGCTAGTATAGAACTTAGTACATAACAGAGCAAATCTTAACCTTCTGATCATTTTGCCTCTGGCTCCTGAGTGCTGGGATTACATGCGTGTGTCATCTTGTCCAGTTTATGCGGTCCTGGAGATCAAATTCTGGGCTTTGTGTATGCCAGGCAAGCACTGTGCCCACTGATCTGTATACCTAGCTTTTAGTTCTAGCTTTTTGATTGACTGACTGATAGATTGAGAGGGGGTCTCGATATGTAGCCTTGACTGTCCTACAGCTCTCTATGTAGACCAGACTGAATTGACACTCAGAGATCTGCCTGCCTCTGCCTCCTGATCTCAGGAATTAAAGGCCTGTGCCACGATGTCTGGTATGTTCTAGGGATTATATAATGTTTTCAAGCTTTGTTATTAAAGTTGTTCTGGTTTCATTAGATGAATTATAAAGTAAGTCTATCAATTCTCTGGAAAATGGGCCCAGAGTTTTCTTTGTGGGGAGGTTTTTTTGTTTTTCATTTTTTTAATAGCAGAGTAAACATTTAATATTTTCTATTTATTGAATCAGTTTTGATAATTTAAATAATTTAAAATAATGTAAAAGTTTATCAATATAAGACAATTTTGATATCTTGTTTTGAGGGTGACAAGATCTTTAGTAGTATTCCCTTTCATTTCTAATGTTGCTAGGTTTCTTTCATTTTTCTGGATTAGTCATGCCGAGGGCTGCCAGTCTGGCTTCCCTTTGCAGTTAATTTGTGCCACTGTTGATCTTGTTTCCAGAGTGGATTTCCTATTTCACGATGTCCTGTCCTTCTCTATTTTCTTTCCTTCCCTTTTCTTTGGGCGTGGTTTGCTCCTGTTTCCTAGTGACTTGTTCTTCTTAGGGTTTGTGACTCAAAGCAACAGCTTAGATCACTGGTTTTTCTCATCTATGCATTTCAGGCTGTAGCTGTCCCTTTAAGGACCACATTCACTGCATTGATCTTACATATGCATGTGGTTTTTGATCTTTGGCTTTACACAGTTGCAGAAGCCAGTCAGAGAGTGCACTTAGGATGTGGTTTCTAGCCTAGGCTTGCAGCCCGAGGGCTCCAGATGTGGCCGCAGAGGGAAGCTGTGTCATGTGGGAGAGACGCCAACTGGAACCTGTGGGCCCACTCTATCCTTTTGCTGCCCGAGCCTTTATGCTCAATGAAATGCTGCAGAATATTTATTTAATTATGTAAAGATGTGGTGCCTTTGTTTAATTATGGAAAGATGTGTTGCTGTTTTACCTTGCCTGCCTAAGGCGCCTGACTGGTCTAATAGAAAACTTAATGGCCAATAGAGAGGGAGCAAGTATAGGTGGAACTTCCAGCCAGGGAGAGTGAGCAGGAGGAGGGATTTAGGCTTGAGGAAGAAGGAAAAGGAGATGACAGGGAGACGCCAGCCAGACATGGAGAAGGCAAAAAAGTAGGACATACTGAAAGAAAGGTAAAAGCCTTGAGGCAAAACATAGATGAATAGAAACAGGTTAAAGTAAGTTATAAGAACTAGTGGGACAAGCATAAGCTATGGCCAAGCATTCATAATTAATAGTAAATCTCCGTGTCTCTATGTGGGAGCTGGTTGTTGGCCCTAAGAAATGTCCAGCTCCAGTGAAGGCCTGCACTGAAGCAGGAGCTGACAGAGCCGGAAATGCTGAAGGAGGGCCTCTGGAGCTGGGGCTGCTGGGGCTTGGCTGCTCCCTATTCTGTGCTGTGTGTATGCTAGAACCTGGAACCTCAGTCCCTCCCCTGCTTCCCAGAGTTATTACAGTGATCAGTTTGGAATGCAGCCTTCTAAGTGCTTATTTATACTGCAACATACACATATAATAAACATTTATATCTGCATATAACTAATAGAGAGTTCTGCTTTACCTATATGATACTTTACATAAAAAGCATTTTCTGATAAAATGTTACTGACAGTTTTTTGTTTTTTGGTTTTTTTTTTAAATTTTGAGACAGGGTTTCACTAGCCCTGGCTGGCCTGAAACTCTCTATGGAGACCAGGTTGGCCTCAAACTCAGAGATCCATCTGCCTCCGCCTCCCAAGCCCTGGAATCATGTGTGCCACCACATCTGGCTTTATTTAAACATTTAAAAAAATAGTGATTTTAATTTAACTTTATGTATGTTGATGGTTTGCCTGCATGTGTTCCTGTGTAGGGGTGTTGGGTCCCCCAGAACTGGAGTTACAGACAGTTGTGAACTGTCACATGGGCGCTGGGAATTGAACCCTGGTCTTCTAGAAGAACAACCAGTGTTCTCAACCACTGAACCGTTTCTGTAGCCCTCTTAAACATATTTTAAGGAGACTTAGTATCCTAAAGAAAATAATTAAGGCTAGTAATACCTTCACTCTGCTTTATCTTATTTAGATACTCAGTAGAGTATCGAAACCCCACACAATTCATAAGAGTTCAGAGAGATTTTCACCAGGTTTAATTGTGGGGGGGGGGGCAGTAGAAAAAGAGTCTTCTGTTAGGTTATTTTTCACGTTTTCCCATTTAATTGTATGTCCCATGTTCGAATTGTTGAAGGGATGTTGATAAGCTCCACTGACCTTGGGATCATGCTAGAACTGGGGTGACGGCCATTGGGGTTGGCCAGCCTCTATTTCTTCTAAGACCTAAGCCCACACATTTGCATAAAGTATCCAGGCAGGGACAGGACTCCCATGGTTCTCTGATTCCCACAGATCAGGGACCTGTAGGACTTTTCGTCTGGTGGTGGCGGAAGTGGGGAGTGCTCATGGACCGGTGGCCCAGCCCGACACCAGGCACTGTGCCCTGACCAGTGTTTCCTGAAGGCAGTCCCATGCTGCTCTATGACTCAGAGCTGGAAAGACTGACCGCTGTCCCACCTCGGGTGGGAACGATTGCTCCCTCACCCTAGAAGCCAACCTTGTCTATCTCCTCCTGAGGCAGATCTGAAATTGTGCCCCTGAGACCTCTGAGTCATATGCCGCTACCCTGTGTCTAGTTCCTGGGCACGAGAGTAACGATGGAGGATTGGCACTCACAGAGACTTGGTCAGCTCCGATGATTCCTGTCAGGCTCCCAGTCCCATAGTGGATGGAGAAACGATTCCCTACCTCCTCGTATGTGCTGGACTGGGACGGGTGGAAGACCGGGTGCGTCTCTGGAAAACAAGAATTCCGCTCACTGCTTCGATCCCTGCCCCAAAGAGGCAGAGCAGCTCCCCACAATAAGTGGAAGATGGGAGCTCTCGGGAAGGCCTGCCATGGCCTTTTACTAGTGAGCTACCGTGTCCTCTCTAGCCCAACCAGGTGTGTCCCAACCAGGGACCAAATATTTGTCCCTGGGCAAATCTGGTTGCTCACGGTGACCTCATAGACACAAGATAAGCCCCGTTTACCTGGCGCCAGCAGCAGTCTCAACCATTAATTGTGCGGCCGAACCTGGCCTTCAGAAGAAGCCTGGGGGTGACCAATTACCCCTCTAGGGAATTATTCCCAACTCTTTGCCCAACTTTGCAGATGTCTAGTCTTGGGTTCCGAAGAACTTCCACCCTTAGGATGTGTCCCACACTGTACGAGCCTTCTCTGTGTAGGGCTTCTGTTCCCAAAGTCTCCCTTACTCCTACGTTACCTCTGGCCAAATGGACACACCCAAGTCACTGTGGGCCACCAGTCACACCTGCATGGGAGCCAGGCCATCAGGGCCTCCTTGAAGTAGGTGTACAGTCTTCCTTAGAACTCAACCAACCTACCCCATTCAGGTACAGACCAAAGGAACCTTCTCCCGTGTTCCTTTGGGTGTTCCAAAGGAAGTGAGTCACCAAGTCAATGATTTCTCTTCTCGTGGCTAATTTTCTCTCCATTAATTCTAACTAGTATGGAAGTTATCTTGACTAGTAGCTCCCTTTCATCTCTGTCCCTGGGCCAGCCATGCCAAATGAAGAAAGGGGAGAGGAGGAAGTTGGCATGGCAGGAAGGACCAGTGGAGGGAACTGAATCTTTCCACCCCACGACATACCACCTTAGCCTCCAAGAAGTGGTTCCCACCATTACAGCCCACTTACTGCATGCTGGGCTGGTGCAGTAAACAGAAGGGACCCAGAGGTTGGAGGAGCCAGTGTCAAAGAAGACGGTGAAGTTCTGTGGCGGAGAGCCAATGGAGATAGTGCCGAAGTATTCCATCTACAGGGAAGAGAGAGAAAGAGAGTATGAGAGGAAGGGAGGAAAAGGGTTGTTTGTGACTGTATCCCAGAGTACACGGACTACAGTCTGTCCAAGCTTGAAGAAGCTTGGGGACACAGGATGAAAGGAACAGAGCAGGGGCCATGAGGGAGGGCACTGAGGATAGTTTAGAAAACTTGGTTCCCTTTTCTTATTGTCTTAAGTCTCCTGATATCATTGTGAACAAGGCAGGGGAGACAGAAATGCCTCCATTTTAGGGACCAGGGAACTGGGGATGCAGGGAATCAAGTACTCTCTTTGTCTCAAGATGTAACTAGCTAAGCGCCCAGCTGAGCACACAGTAGGGGCTTTCCCCTTGGAGCACATGCCATCCTTATCTCTTTCCTCTTAAAGCCATGCACACTGGGCCATACTGAGGCCTGCTTTACAGAGCTCACAGAGACTACGGGATTACCCATCTGAGTCATCCAAGCAAAGTGACCCATGCCTGAGAACTTGATGTCACCTATGTAGCGCTGGTCCCTGCTAGAGACCCAGCCTTCCTCCCTACTCCCAGTGTACCCAGGCTTCAGCCCAAGACATCTTACATCCAGGTAGTTGATGAGGGGCTCATTGGTACTCTGGTCCATTCTACAGGACTCGCTGAACTGGACCATGTCCAAGTTCTGGGACTTCCAGAAGTCTGAGAGCACGCCTTGGGCCCGCAGCTTCTTCCGGACGGACTGATGCTTTCTGAGGGGCACCCTGGGGAAAAAGTGCGGTGTGAGGGGGCAGTTCTGTTTCCACCCCTCGATTTCCATGTATCAGTTCAGAATCCGACTGCAGCAAGGCCCAGGAGGGGACCTTCAAGGCCAGGGTGTGGCCAGAAGCAGGCCTTCTCTGTTTGGTGGACTCAGAACCTGGGTAGAAGTGGCCCTCCCTCCTGGGCGCTAGCCCTTTGAGATCTTCTAGGGAATGGGAGCTAGGACACAGTCTGCAGTTATATCTGACCCCAGAAAGGGCTGACGTCAAGGGATGGAGGACTCTGTGGATAGTAGCGTTCAGTCCCCCTTGAGAAAGAATTTGAAGGCTTGGGGTTACAAACCACAGCTCTGGGGCATACTTTCAAGCAACAGAGGGGAGCCCCTTGAGCTGAGGCAGGCACCTCCTCTGGAAGGAGAGGCCTGGCACTGCCTGGGGAACACTAGGCAATTCCCGTAAGATCCCAATTTCTTCTATGTCCTCATTTTCTTTCCTCCCCCAGGAGAGCCCTGAACTGGGTTGCGGGATGCCTGAGTTGAACTCAGTGCTGGGGGCAGTGCCTTACCTGTGCATAGCTCCATGGGTCAGTCCCAGGTCCAGGAGCACCAGCAGGAGTACAAGGAGGGATTTCATTGTGATCCAGGCAGCAGTTTCTCTCTCGCTCTGCTTCTCTCTTCCCTCTTCTTTTCTTCTGGAGCACAGGGCAGGGGCACCAGCTCTTCCTGGTGCCCAGACCTGCCCTGCCCAGTCTGAGGACCCAATGATAAGGTCTGGAGTCAATAGCCATGCCCAGAGTAAACAGTGTGTGTAATAGGACGTCCCTTCTCTGCCTCTTTTTGCTTGGGGAGTTAAGGGTAAGGCGTACGTGTTTGTGTGTGTGTGTGTGTGTGTGTGTGTGTGTGTGTGTGTGTGTACCCTCTGAAAATGAGGGGAATTCCTGTCTCAGTTTCTCCCAGGGTCTTTGGACACCCCATACAGGCTTTAAGTAATTCTGTGTTAATTGTCTAAGGATGCAAATGTCGCAGAACGAGGGTCCCACCCTGCTGAACTGCTACCACGAGTGTGAGTGTTCAAGTTGAAGACCCCTAAAGGGCAGGAACTGAAATGCCCTATGTGGGTCTGACTGTATCTCAGAATATTAGCCAGGCTTTTGCCCCTATATTTCTTATTTTCTCTTCATTTCTTTAGAGGCTTCCTAGGCAATTTGTCTTTCTCAGAGCAAAACCAGCACTCCCCCAAAGCCCTGAAATGGAAAAGTTTGGCTTTGGATTTGTGAGGTGAGATTTTTTTATGGTTCCAAGCACTTGATGTGTCTGGGGCTGTGGTCTGTATAGAAGGGAGTGCAGAGGCAGCCATGGAGGGGCAGGGTCTGGACAAAGCCTGTGTCGGTACACCAGGGCTGCCATAGCAACGTGTCACAACTCAGTGGCTTGAGCAACATTTATTTTCTTGTGATCCTTGAGGTTGAAAACTTAGATTTTCTTACTGTCAGCCGTTCCTGTGGGTGCCCCTCTCTAGAGTGAAGGGCCAGCTTTCCTGACTTAAGAGAGGTGAGGGTGGCGGAAAGGAAAAGCCTCTGTAACTGTACTTCCAGCTGATGGCCTCTGAGCTGGACGGGACGGCCATCACTACTGTCACAGGTGCTGGCTTCCCCAGGGAGCACTGGTCAGGAAGCAGGGTGCCTGGGTTAGGTTAGCTCTGCTCTTACCACCCAATGTTCTGGCAAAGTACCAGGGCCTTGCCTTTCAGCTTTCCAAAATGTTGAAGAGACATCGGAAAAGAGGAGGAACAAGAACAGATTCACAAGCAACTGGCCCACGACCCTGAAGCAACCGTACCTCTCCGGCGTTTACTCATTTTCTGGGAGCCTGTCCTCTGACCTCTCACAGGGAGAGGGACCTGTCTGTTCCCCAAAGAGCAGCCTGCTGCAGGAGGGCTAGGAGTCCGGGTCTCTCCTCCCGGAACTAAGCTCTGACATGAATCCCCACAGTTGCCTGACCAGACACCTGTGTCGTCTTCTGGGTTTTTGGAGTTAGGTGCTCTGAAAACAGCTTAATCCATCCTGTGGGCAGAATCTTGGCACTACAAAAACCTTGTGCTGGGAGATTTCTTCCAGGTCCTCACGGCCGACTCACTTGCACAGCGAATGAGAACATAGTCCCAGAGAGCACAGTTCATTAGGCAGAGCTAGGGCTCTTGGCTACTGCTAGTCCAGGGCTCCTTCTGTGTGCTACCACTGAGCTAGTGAAGCCGGCATAACTGAACCCTCCTTCCTTTTCCATCTCCAGGCCTCTCCCCATCTGGTTACCAAATGTAGAGGGTAAGGTTGGCCCATGTCTAAATGAGACCCGGGTAACTATGGATTATCTGATCCCAAGGTAGAATACTCAGGCTGCCTGTTATAGGGTTTGTGAGTTTGAGAAAGTCTGACAAAGATTGAGAAGAAGCTTGTGGGGATGTTGGTCAGAGCCGATGGGAAACACCAGGCACTGCATGCCGTTCTCCGTGCTGTGGCTCCTCCCAGGCTGAAAAGAAAGTCACTGTGGACCTATGTTATGGACGGTGTGAACCCTGTCTGGGAAGAAAAGCCCTGGACGTACGGGTGGCTATGTGTGTGATCTCTGGGAAAAGGCAGAGGAAGAGCGGCGTGAGGACAGAGGCCATAGCATCGTAGCAATCTGTTCTCTCAGCGCTTGCAAAGGGGCTGTGGTGGTCTGAAAGGAAATGGCTCCCAGAGGGAGTGACACCATTAGGAGGGGTGGCCTTGTTGGAAGAAGTGTGTCACTGTAGGGGGTGGACTTTGAGGTCTCATTTGCTCAAGATTCCCTTAGTGTGACAGTCAGTTGACTTCCTGTTTGCCAGTGAGATGTAGCACTCTCAGCTCCAGCACCATATCTGCCTGCGCACCGCCTTGCTCCCCATCCTCATGGTAATGGAGTAAACCACTCGAAACTGTAAGTGAGCCACTGCAATGAGACGTTTGCTCTATAAGAGCTGCCATGGTCCTGGTGTCTCTTCACAGCAATAGTAATCCTGTCTAAGGCAGGGGCCTTGAAAAGAGGGCTCTCCAGGGATGTGGGGAGGAACCTGGCTGGGTGCAAAGGTTTGACACTTTTCAGAACGTGGGAAAACTGTCGGTGATGACACTCCCTAATTAGCTTCTTTTTCAGCATCTTCAGATCGCAGAAGATAAAATAATGACAGTGACCAGCTTCACAGTGCTGTGTGGAAGTTAGCTCCCAGCACAAGGTACACGCCAGTGTGGGATAAGAATCGGCTCCTGAGGTCAGGGAGCTACACTCCAGAATACGCTGTCCCTGGCTCTGGTGATAGCATCAGCTCAAAATGACCCGGACAACTCATTGGGAAAATGTCCCAACCTCTTTCTGCTCAGAGTTGAGGAATGAAGAAAAACCCACCGTGCCGCATGTGGCCAGGCAAGGAGAGGCTGGGGCAACGACGCCTTAACTGGCCATCTCACCCTAGAAGTCACTTCTCTCAGAACCTCATTCCCTCGTCTACAAGATGAAGAGGCTCGGCTGAATGAGGACAGAAGGGACACTGGGGAGGGCGTGGCTGTGCCTCAGACACTGTATTAAAGGGCTTCGACGTATTTCTTCACACCTCACACCGATCCTTCAAGAATATTTAAAGCCATGTCACATATAAGGAGACAGAGACACAGGGTGGCTCCTATGTAGCACTGTAACTAGGATCCAAAGCCAGGTTTGCCTGACTTTAAAGCTGAGATTTCTAACCATGATGTTTTACTGAATCATCCACAGGGTCTTATGCCCTAGAACTTCTTCCTGAAAGAGGGAAGTGGAGCGGCTAAAGAGGGGGAGGGACTTGCTTTTGTCATGGCAGACGGTTGTCTAGGCTTGGAAGTATAAAAGACTCATGGTGAGGCAATAAATGTTCTCAGTGCTGCATTTTCATAGACGTTTGTTTGTCCTTTGTATGTTTTTCTATGCTTTTTCTGTCTTGTCTTCAATGAGCCGCCCAGGAAGGATCATTACTGTGTGGTGGGTAGGTACAAAAGTTACTCCTGCACTCCTCTCTGACTAAATTATGAAAAATAAAACTTCTGTTCCATCAAAACATCTGCTTGATGCAGAAGGAACTTTGCACCGCTTATTTTCCCACACAGCTTGGTTATCTTTGCTGATTTTTAAAGCCTCCTCTTCTCACGTCACTGGAAACTGGAAGACTCTGACACCCCCAGAATTTCCCTGTGTCACCAACTCCGTCAATTTGAGCTATTTTTACAACCACAGAATTTCTGGTGTTGGCTTCTAACACCAGAAACCGCACAGCATTGCCAGCAGAGGGCGCAGGCACCGTGGTGGTTTCACGCACAGTGACTGATGCCAGCTTATATGCTTGAATGCAGGCGCAAAGCAGGGTTTGAGTTCTACCACCTGGCTTGTGATACCATGGGTATGTTTTGAGTTTCAGGTTCTTCAGCTGTAAAAGAGAAAGTCTGTGGGAGGGAGCATGGAGGGACACACCTGCATAATATCAATGCTGGGGAGGCAGAGTCCACTGGTCCACTATGAGTTTGAGACCAGCCTGGTCTACATAGGAAGTTCTAGGCCAGCCAGATTAAACAGGAAGTGGGGGGGGAGTCCGTGGAAGGAAATCAAATACAAAAAAAAAAAAAAACCTGTTAAGATTATGTCTATTCCAAGACACCGAGTCACATATCTGATTAGATTCAACAACTTCCCTGTGGAAAACCCTCCAAATGGAGGTCTTAGCAGGCTTCAGGCATTTATTTATTCACAATAGTCTTGACAGAATTCCAGAAAAAGGAGCACCAAGGCCCCAAGAGATCTCTTCCTCAGTAGACATAATTCACGTGGAAGAAACTCAGGAGTGTCTGACTAGACTTAAATACTGTGGTACTTTGAAGGAGAATAACCCCCATAGCTCATGTATCTAAATGTCTGGTTCCTAGCTGATGGATTGTTCAGGAAGGGTTAGGTGTGGACTGATGTGGGACGCCTCTCTGTATGCTATGAATGTTTTATTGTCATTGGTTAATCATGAAGCTGCTCTGGCCTATGGCAGGGCAGAATATAGCCAGACAGGAAATCCAAGCAGAAAGTCAGATAAAGAAGGGCGGGGTTAAGAGAGATGCCAGCAGCTGCTGGAGGTGTGAAATGCCGGAGCATTACCAGTAAGCCACAGGGCACATGGCGATATGCAGATTATTAGAAGTGGGATAATTTATATAGAGAGCTAGCCAGTAAGGAGTCTGAGTCATTGGCCAAACAGTTTGTAATTAATATTAAGCCTCAGAGTGGTTATTTGGGAACTGGCGGCAGGAAAGAAATGTGGACTTGTTGGAGGAGGTGTGTCACGGGGGGGTGGTGGCTTTTCCCTAAAAAGTCAAATCGGTCATGTGTGATGAGGCAAACCGCCCTCAGAATGAACTCTTAAAGACAATAACCTACCCTAGGTCCAGTCTCTCTGTCTGAGGCCTGTAGATCAAGGTGTGAATTCTCAGCTGCCACCCCAGCACCGTGCCTGCCTGCCACCATGCTTCCCATCATGATGGTCATGAACTCCCTCTCTGAAACTGTAAGCAAGTCCCAAACTAAATGATTTTCTTTTGTAAGTTGACTTGGTCATGGTGTCTCTTCACAGCAATAAAACAGTGACTCAGACAAGTGTGGTCATGCGTATGTCACATGAGAGACGACAGTAGCTAGGCATGGGGTGCACATGGCAGACCAGGCCAGAA